ACCTCGTCAACTTCCCACGGAGGGCGATGACTCGTTACGAACAGCGCTTTTGGTGATATTTGCTGGAAAGATAGACAGTGTCTAGAGACAGTGGTGCGTCACGAGAAGTCAAGAGCGGTGTAAGTCCACCGACTACCGAACGGTGAACCACTCTCCCGGTGTCTCTTCGTAGATACTGGGTAGTACCTAGGTGTGGCATCTCAAACAGTCGATAGGCGATTTACACCGTCTACTACGTACATACCGGGGTCCCCGGTTGCAGTTGGACGGGCAACTCGGCGCAACACTTCTATCATGCCTTCCTCAACGCCAGCATATACTGTCCTCATCCAATCACTTGTTGACAGGCTTGCTCTCTTTCCTAATTGTCGGTTCCTCGGAAGGTGCGGAACCACGCATGAATGCGGTGATTCCAGGAACAGGTTAATCCTGGACCTTCGAAGAAAGCCTGTATGTCGTGAATATACAATAGCAAGTCCGAGCAGGCCGGCCGACCGAGGGATCTGAGTATCACAAAAAACAAAAAAAAAAAAAAAAAAAACCAAAAAAAAAAAAAAAAAAAAAAAACACAGTAGATGAAGCAACTAGCAGGCAAACACCATTGCAAACCAGGAATAACCACATGGCCTTGGTTAGGGTTGGGAATTCCCTTGTCGCGTGGCAGTGTCCAGGTTCATACCATGCCATGTCCCAACCAAACCTTCCAAGCCAACCAGTCAAAGACTCAAAGCCGCCAACCAGCCGATTGATAGTCAGGGGTCTTACTGAGAATGGCTTGGGCCGCGTTTTGGTTGGCCATGTTGTGCTTCACTACAGCCACGTGTGAGAAACGTGGGCGGAGAGTAGAGAAGGGATATGATTGGTACCTAGCTAAGTAATTTGAATGGTCGAGATTGGACTCGAAGTGTTTACCCGTACAAGATTAAGTCTGATACTTTGGCAGATGTCACATTTGCTCTTCTCTGGTCCTGGCGATTACTCTTCACTTTCAGAGATTAGAGACACGGGAAGATATCGGAATCTCTTTTGCTCAGATTATTGACTTAAAGATTATATCTGGCTAACTGACCTCGTTCACATAACTGCCTTCCAAGTTCCCGTCTCCTATCTGGTCAAGAATTGTCTGACCTGATAATGACCTCTACAACCAAATCATTCAAGCGATCAATCAGCACGATGTCGACCGTTGTGCCGCACGCTAGTAGAGATGGCTGTGGCATTGGTGTCTAGAATCTTGATTACATGCCTTTGAAGGTGATTCCCTTCAGGTCAGTATCTTCATCCACTGTCGATGGTCACCAGAAGCCTGATCAGACACTCGGATGGTACAACGCGCCCCATCACGTCTACCTCTCTACGCCAGTAAGCACATGAAGGGGTCGTCCGAGTGAGACTGACCGCACATTGTTAATTCCGATTCGTTCCAATTGATGAAGAATACAGACGCCGGTGGGTCACAACTCTGGCGATTGGCAGTTCAAGTAGGTATCGAACACAGCAGCAGTCAACCGAGGACTGTACCTACGTTCTTGGACACTCATCCAATACAAATGCCTGCCGGAGTATACCACCCTAAGTACTGTTGGTAGGTAATCGGGCATCCCAGCCTCCTCAACGTTCACCAGTAACGGCATGACAAACATGTATGGTAGTACCACCACCGACACGCAGGTGATATGATGTCGTGTACGCACATATATGATACTGTGATCACCAGCAAGAGACTGAGACTGGTCAATCAATCAGCTAGCTAGCACGAGATCTCTTCTTTTCCACGTGGCATCCATGACTCTTTCATTTTGTGGACGTATGTATGTACATCCGAACGCCACTCATAGTGATGAACCAAGCGCACTTCCCATTCTCCCACCTGCTGTATATGTAGATATCCACAAGAACAATGATGTATGCATGTCTTCCTCTCAGCCCCTACCTCCAACACCTTCTCTCATACCGTAAACCACAACTTGTTGGTCACTACTGGTAACATGCAGATTGTCACATCCAGGCGCGCCAGGGGAGGAGTTTGCGAATGCCACATGAACATCATACGACCGGCAAGCAAGCATCCGCTAGTTCGCTACCGACACGGCTGCTGCCGCAGGGGCTGAGGACGAGGGACGAGGGTCGGCATTCATTGAAAGTAGCGGGTGAATCTGTGTATCTCATGCGTTTGGGTGTAACTCGATCATTGGTTGATGGTAGCGTATTTACATACCAGCAGGTGGAGGTAAGACTCATGGTCGGAACCCAACAATAAACAGAAGAGAACAGATTGGAACCTTGTTCATGTACTGGACTACCTAGCTGGGGAAGTCACAACCGTAGACTTGATTTGTTCCTTCCTCTTCTTCTTTATTCTGGCAGGTACCGGTATCCACCCGCCGAGACCTACCTACTACCTACCTAGGCGGCGTCTTTTGCATTACGAAAAGGCGGGAAGGAAGCACCAATTCTCTGATCCAGGACTGCACACATCGGAAGGTACTCCTGCGCAGGGCAGGATCTTCAAAGTGAAGGACGGATCTCGTCTCTGTGTGTCTCTTCCTCTGTTGTGATTCATGGAATGATGATCACTAGGGGTAGGGACGGGTATCTGCATAGCCGAGATGCGAGTTCGAAATGGACGAGATATGAACGATGTCGGGCAGTGATCCAAGTGGCAGTACCACTGTTCTATATTATTCGAGCCTTCAAGGGTGGGATGCTGGATGTGTAACGTCTCAGCGTCTGTTTTTGGTTGCGGTGAGGTAGGAACATTTGGTGAGGATGAAGATTGAGATAATAGAGACGGTACGCATTCTCCGACACGATTTGAAGAGTAGGTGTCAGAACATGGAGGAGGTGGGGGATGTCTTGGTACCCACCAAACAATGTGTCAACCAAGAGGATGCTGTGATGTCGACGGTTATGGAAACCTCCAACAACGATTTCAATGAAGCCGGTGCAGTAGGGATTCTGTCACTTTCTGTACATATGTTGAAAAGCAATTTTGCTTGCAGCGTTAGATTTCCTTGACCTTAATGAAATTTACGGTGAGCCATGTCCGACGACGTATTCACGTGTACGGCCGAGACGAATGGAAGTTGGTATAAGAGATGGTCTGACTAACTGCTACCTGTATCTTATTGCTTCAATAAATCGGTAAAATCCATCATCCTACACGATCACTCGTCCTTTTGTCTCTTCTTATTTTGTCCATCCGGCCGGCAGCTTCACAGGTTTGTTTGATCCGTCGAAGTGTCAGGAGATGCTTGGTTGCCTGACTCAATTATGCCTCTTCTCTTTTATCACGCTTGTATTGACTTCAGTCACATTCAATCAATGTTCCATCCGGTCGCTTCGGTTATCACTCAGTTTCGCGAGTGTACCAAGTCCGTCAAATACAGTCAATCAACAGAATCAATTGCCGAGTCTCATGTCTCATATGTTGCGTGTTAGAAGTTTTCCGTACGCCGTAAGATGGTGTGCCTGCCTCCATCTGTCTGTCCTTCATTCTGCCATGACCTACCTATTGATAAAATTGCGCGGCATCGGTACACCATGCCTTCAACGAAATTGATTGACTTGTGTCTTGTCTCACTGGCTCGTGTCATGGTAGAGTCGAGCAAGATAAAATATCTGTGCGCTCAAGTACGACACCAGCGTGGTGTTACTCGAAACCATGTGGTTTTGATTCATGGCTTTTTCTTCTCCAACCGGCAGGCAGAAAAAGAAGCGGGTTTATGAACATTTTATCGGTCTGGATGGACTCACGAGATGGGCGGTTCCATTGGGCTTGCTTGGTACATCTAGGTACACAGCGTATTCTTTGGTTTCTAGCTGTTTGTATTAAAACCTCGGGATGGTTTTTCCCAGTCACCGTGGCCGTGATCAAAGAAGATTTTTCATGTTCCACTGCTCATTATGACATTCCAGAGAGGATATAGCTGTGCTGTCTTGAGGTAGCACTACAAAATTAGCCATCCGAAAAGTTTGATGTTGGAAGTCTTGTTCAGCGGATAGGATGGTCATCTCGATACCATTAAAAACATGTCACTCAGTGGTATTCCAATTGTGAGTGATGGCTTGACCACTTGAGCTTATGAACGTATGTAGTAGCAATCACTCATGCCCAGTGTCTTCAAAGGAGTTGACACACATGCTTAGAAGAGATCCGATGAAAGAAATTTTTGGTGACAGGAAAACCAAAGAGTCCGTGAACTAACGGAGAGTGCGAAAGGATATGACAAGGAACCACGAGCACTATCGTATTGCGTGGAGGTGGGACGGTGAGGTAAAACTCTCTTGGAGATGAATTTGAAAGAGGGACAAGACCGCATCACGGCTGCTATGGAGGTCTGCACACATGCCGTAGCATTACTACCGCAAAACGTAACTCAAGTTCTATCAAAGAGTATCCGATCTGCTTACCCTGCCCTTTCCAGAGGCGTTTTCGTTTTGTTTTAGCTGCTCGTCCAAATACTAAGCTATATCTTTAACAGACTACAGTTCCCAAACAATGATAAGAATTTGGCCAAAA